TTTTTTTTTTTTTTTTTTTTTTTTTTTTTTTAATAAAAAAAATACCCCCTACAGATAATTAACTACTAGGCTCGAAGCTATATAACTTTGTGATATTTAATCTAGCCTCTGAACATTTTTATTCTCGAGGGTACGCCCATTTCTGCTGTTAGAATCCAAGGTTTTCTCTTTAATTTGCCCATATTGCCACAGCATTAATTAGTGCACCCATTCTTCACCGAAATTGATCTGCTACCTCATTGCGATCTGGACCCCCCTAGAGCTATCTACGTAGGCCTTTATAACAGTCTGTTGAGTTTTCGGGGTCTATTTCCCTTGTTTTTTTGGACTGCACAGATTTTCACAATGTAGACACAAACGCAAACATTCATTTACCCAACGCGGGGAGAGTGACGAACTAATCGACTAGCGTTAGGTCACTTCCGTCTGGGAAAATGAATGCTCCGAACGCTGAACAGCCCCCTTGCATGGTCCCCCGGCCTGCAAGCACCCCGCCAATCGACTCTGTTTTGCCCGAGCACTCTGACGGGGCTCGAGATCTTCTGGCCCGAGACTGTTGGCTGACGGGACTAGATGGAGAGAGGAGACGGTGGAAAGAATGGCGATACTTCTTCCGCCAGATGGAGCACCTCAACCTGCGAGGTAAATCTCTCAATTTCGTCAACGTCGCCGGACGCGTCTCGATGGAGAGACGGAAGTGCGCCCCCTCACTTCCCCTTGTGTAATGAGACCGTCGTTTCCGCCATCTAGGCGCCCCAAACCTGCCCTGCCTTCCTTTGAGTCGCATCTCTATCTTTTGAGGTTTGATTCGACGATCATCGTCCGGATGCTGTGGACGCTCAAGCTCCACCCTCGCTTCGAAATTGACCCAGACGGTACTTAGGTTACCTGGGACCGAGTAGAAGCTCTGGACGGACAAACTAGAGTCAGCCCGTGTAAAGCAAGGGTCTACGGCAGAACTTCATCTCAGGCACACTACTTACATGTCGCCGAGTGAGCAGCTTTTATGCCGACACCGGCATACGCAGAGCCTCACTGAATCACTTTTGGCGGTACTTGTACAGTATCAACCAAGTTTCTCATCTGCGTCCCGTAGTGAGCCCTTTCGATCGCCTCAAGGTCATAAATAGCTATTTAGTGAGATGTGGAAGAGCAAGAGTTTCCAATTCAGAAATCACTCCACTCTCTCCCAGTTCGGGCTATAAAAATTAAAAAATATCCCCCCTCGAAACTTATTTTCTTGCCGTAGAGCCATGTTATACACGACTATCCATATTTAGAGTCACACTAGGAGGCTTATGACACTCCTGAATTTTCGCAAAGATGGTTCTCTTAGCTTCCGAGGAAGACGTTTGCAATGCTCCACCCTTTTGTAAACAATCTAAACTACCCCCAAACACTGACCACTTGAAAATCAAAACAAGCAGTCGCTTTCCAGCGGAGCTTCTTTTCAGGAGAACTATATTACACTCGGACATGAATTCCATGTATCACTATCAGCCCAAGTTTGAGTTTTGAAACTCTTCTATAATTTTGAAAAGGGCAGCACGTAAGAGTTCCAGAGCAAGCTCTATTGAGTGCAAGAGCTACAAACGCCTGCCATAAAATCGGGATCAGATGCCCATTTCGATCACCTCCTATTACATCGAAAAACATCTCTTTAAGGCTTCGCCGCCAGATGAACGGTTGTTTTTGGTAAGAAAGCAACCAACTTCGCCAATTCTATGACTGAGCATGATCAAAATCTGCTCTTTCCGATCCTGTAAAGGTGTCGCTCAATGTTTGCGTAGGGGCTAATGAACAACACAGTCCCCCCTTTTCCTCTCCATCGGGCTGCACCGGCGTAGTTCGTGACTCAGCCAATTTCATACAGTCTTGTTCATGGTGACCAGCTCCCACGATCGTGAGATTTATGAGGCTACTGCCGCAACATTCGCACGGTTGGCGACGATGATTGTGGAGGCAAGCCACGAGAATTACTCGCTGTATAACCCTGCGTTCTTCAAATGGCAGAGTCAGGGTCCACTGGTTCTCTGTGTCGGTGACGCATGTTGTGGCATTGCGAATGATGGAGTATGAATTCCAGTCTGGAAGTTCTTTGCGTAGTGCCTTGCGTACTCGGTCTTGAAGGTCGTCCGTTGCTCTATTGTTTGACCCCGAATCCTCGGTTGGAGGTTCTGCTCCGGGTGCAGGCGTTGGCGGGTGGTGAAGAGCTATGTCCGCATTGTCGAGTCCACCGTCGGGACGTGGTAGAGGCTCTTGGGGCATCCCTGGGAGTCGGACAGCGAGGTCGGTTCGAATGACCTTCTCACTTCACCAGTACGACAGATCACCCTGCTAGTATGTCGATACAAGAGAAGACAAAAGTCTAGTTTAATACCGAGTCTCCAGGCCAGGCTCTCTTATAGTGTCGAAAAGATCGCCACTCACTCTTTAGACTAGGTTAGGTTTTCCTCCTTCCTGACTTTGTCCGGGACGTCGGTAGACCGAACATTAGATGGGAGCTATGCTCAAGATACGTGCCGAAGGATGTGAGGGCCGGTATTTTAGAGAACAAGACCCAAGCTAGAACCAGCCAGGCCTCGCCAGACGAGGATTCGAACAAGGTCCGATCGGTCGGAAGAATGCCTAGGTCCCGGCGGCCAAGAGCTTGAGTTCTGCCCGTCCCCGCAAGCGTCGTCGTCTACCTGGATGTGTCGCTCTAGGCTTGGACTCCCATTACTAGAGAGGGTCTTTGCTGAACGGCCGATTTCCGACTTGCCTCTTGGAGTGATTTGCCACCACCTGATTAACTTTGGGTGACACCCACTGGCAGAAATTCCCCTCGAGGAACATAGTGAAAGGCTACTGGTTCAAGGTCATGGGGAGGTATCTCCTGGCTTGTTTCAAAGCTATCATAAGGCATTGTAAGTCTTCTCTTTGCTTGTACAGGCCTCTGCACAGGCTTTACAAGGGGTTTGGTTATGCCGCGACCAGGTCGGCAAAGGCACATGGAAATCGACGATGCGAAAATCTAAGAACATCTGATTCCGTACTCTCGGATATAGTACCATTTCAGCCGACTCTTGCTCTGGGAAATCAGTTACACTATGTCTTGAGTCTTTGGCCTCCGTTAGGCGCGCCGCTAGCTTACCGGGGAATATTCCTCTGAGTTATTTTCGCTATACTGTACACTCAACTCACGATGATTTTGCCTCTTCCTCCTACCCTTTCGTCTCCGTCAGATGACAATGTGAGCGATTCGCTCGCTCCGAAAACGGTCAAGCACCCTTAACACAATCCATGGATCATAGTGCCATGGATCATAGTGGCCAAGGCAACAGCGTTTGCCTCATTAATGTTTCAACTCATCAACCGACACCTGCAAGTAGGTGGAACCGAGGTGGTCCCACACTGGTTCGGTAGCTCGATAGGGGAACTGTCCTGGTCTCGACCAGGATAAGAACTTCCGGAGGCGACCGGTTCGATTATGTGGGCATCGAGCGTAGGAAAAGCCTTGAATTACCACGTGGGGCGTCCGTGTCTCGGGGGGCTCTGGCAGTGTTGCCTTCGCTAGGCGCGAGTCTATCTTTGATAACCTTTCAGTTATCAGCACTCCTTGACTTCTCGTTGATGACAGGAGAGCTAGTGTCACTAGCAGCGCACGATACGTCACCTCACGTCTAGACCGCCATACCCGGTCCAAGGGACAGGAGACTTGTGCAGTCTAGATGAGAGCTTTCGTGGAGCCCGGTCAGATTCTCGCTCACGATAAAAGCCCTAATCCCCATCGAATGACCAGAGAGACATATCCTTGCAAGTAATATTGTTCACACTCGTCGGAGAGCCACTTCTCGGATACCAAGCGCGCGTATTTTCAATCAGACAGTCTTATCGGTGATGGGGTCGAGCGATCAAGGTCGGAGATCAAAAAAAAGGCGAAGGAGCCCCCAAAGACAGAGTTCGAGCCCGCCGCCAGATTCCGAATTAAACACCGCACCAAATATTCCCCTCGACAATCTATTCATTTGCGCATTGCGTCGTATGCTCAAAGAGGCCGAGGACGACCTCAATACACAAGCGGGCAGCTCAATGTCTCGGCCTTACCCAGAACCCAACCCGCACAACGCTGGTGCTATACAATTGGATGCTGAGGAATCTTTACCTACTCCCGAGATTAAATTGCCGGGCCCGGAGGTCCCTGAAACGCCACAAGGTATCTCGGATGATATTGAGTTCTCCCAGGGGGACTCGACACCAGATGGTTGGATCTACGATGTTGAGGGGGAGACGTGGGAAAAAGGAAAGGTCTATCGCACATACGTTGTAAAGCTTAAAGTGAAAGACGATTTCGTGGAGAATTTGGGAGAGACAGGCGTGCTCCACATCGCATTGAAGCAGACCCACTTCCTCGCAGCAGTCGGAAATTTCGTCGAACGCAATGAAAAGAGGATATTCGTCATAACAAATACTAGCTAGTTACCGAAGAGAGATGAACCGGAGGCTGATGTTCTCCACTATGCCTTGTTTCACTCGGCTCTGTTCAAAGTTATATTGAATTGAAAAGGTCAGCCTAAGCGGACTACGAGCGTATCTCCCCTTCCGTCCGTTGGGCGCCTTTTGTCTTGGCACTGGCTTGGCACCTATTTACCTCTTTGTTTACTTCGCGATGCGATAGATCTACCA